ATTGTTTTCAGCTAAGCTGCTACTATAATAACTCACTGAGCTAGATGCCTTGGAGGGTAGAAACAGTACCAGAAGATCTGGTCTGTAGGCGATGACAGTCTGGCGGAAGAGAGAGGAAACAGACAGGACTAGAGGGCAGGGAGGGACACAACCCCAGCTCTGGAGAGGGGGAGCTTCCCTGCCCATTGTGAGAAATGGCCTGGTTGCCACTGTCTCAGATGGGTCCTGTTTCCCTTAGGGGTCTTTGTGGTGCCTCGGACATGCTTTTAAAGGGTCCGTAGTTCACATGCACAGGAGACCATTACCGCACCACGCACACCAGCCTCTCTCCTCAGTCAGCACAGCCTTGTGTGTGCAAGAACTCCAGAAACCTGCCTGAGCAGACACCTAGCACGTGACACACTGTTGAGACAGTCACTGTGCAGAGCGCCAGGCCTCTAGAGCTCACTCATCTTACAACTGAGCGTTTGCACCCTTTGGTCAATAGTGCCCCATCCCCCACCCAGCCCCAGTAACACCCTCCACTCTCTCTCTGAGTTTGGCTTTTTCCATTCAGGGAAGACCGCATGGCATTCGTCTTTCTGTGCCGGCCCATCTCGTTGGCATAGTCTCTTCCAGCTCGTCCCTGGACTTGGAAATGGCAGGATTTCCTTTTCTAAATCTGAATGATCCATTCTGCACATCTCCTCATTCACCTGCACATGGACACTCAGGTGGAGTCCACGTCTTGGCTGCTGTAAACAGCCCCACACTCAACACAGGAGCACAGACATGTCCAACACACTGTGGACAAAAGTTCCCTGAAGATGAATTGAGAAGAAAGAGACTTCATTCCAGTGAAGAGTTTGTGAACCAGGGAGACACAACCTTTGGTGTAAAATGAAGATGCGTTCTGGAAAACAAAGGGAAGCTCATCTTTTATAGAGAAAGTTCCCACCTGGTTCACACCACGTATGCAAATGAGGGATTCAAACTCTGAGTTACGATTGGTCAAGATAGAAACAGTTGACTGGTCCAGGCAGGAACAAGAACAGGCAACTGGGGGGGTGCGCGGTTGCAGCTGCCCAGTTCTCAGGAAACAGAACACATGACTGGTCTCCAACCAGCAGGCCCCAGGGCACATGAGCAAGCCCCGGGGGACCTGTGACTGTTTTAGGTCCAGGGAGCTACTCAGAATCATCTCAAGGGATTGGCCCATTCAGGGCCTGCATTACTGTTTCAGTTCCTTTGAGGACTTGTCTGGAAGTGGGGTTGCTCTTTCATATGGTAGTTTTGTTTTTAATTTTTCAAAGAATCTCTATACTGTTTTCCATAACAGCTGCACCAGCTCACATTCCCACCAGCAGTGTGCAGGGCTCCCTTTTCTCCACATCATCAGCAGCACACATTAGCCCTTTTGGAGAATACCCACCTCACTGGATGAAGTGGTATCTCGCTATGGCTTTGGTTGGCATTTCCCGTCGTTGGTGACGCTGGGCACCTCTTCCTATGCCTCAGTGTGTCTTCTGTGGAGAAATGTGCATTAAGGTTTTTTGCCCATTTTTAAGTCAGGTTATTTGATTTTTATTTGCTTGTTGAGTACTTAGTATCAAAAAACAACTTCTAGTGAAGAGATTCTGTGTTTCTTTCTCTCTGCTTTGGTTGACTTTGATATGAAACTTACCTGGAGTCCACATTGTTTAACACCTCCAGCGCATTTGGTGGCTGGATTAAGGGAGTGATATAGCAACAGGCAGGCCAGTTTTCTAGGACTGATGTAACAAAATACCACAAAGTAGATGACTTAAAGCAACAGAAATGTGTGCTCTCACAGTCTGGACACCAGAAGTCTGGAATCAAGGTGTCCCCCAGCCACAGTCCCTCTGGAGCCTCCAGGGAGGCCCTTCCTGGCCTCTCCCAGCAGCGGTGGCCCCGGGTGTCTCTTCTGGCTGTGGCCACATCACCACTGCCTCTGACTTCTTCTCAGGGTATCTCCTCTGGAGTCTGTGCCTCTGAGTGGTGACTTCCCTAACTTTTCAGGACACGGTCAGATTAGGTTAGAACCACTCTCTTCAAGTTAAACCTCATCTTAACTTGACTACTACTGCAAAGATTCTGTTTCCAAACCCTCTGCTCTATGTGGGTGTGAGGGCCAGGACTCCAGCACATTCCCTGGAGGACAAATCCCAGCCCCTGGGGTCACAGCCCCGCCTCTGACACAGAGTGGTACAGCTTTTGCAATCAGTAGGGAGCTAACTAGCAGCCTTGGTTGCACTTCCTGTCACTGGGGACAGCTGAGTCACTACATTTTAATTTTCCCAATTGTTTGCTACCAATACAGAAGACCCCATTCCAAGTTGGCGTGACTGTGGCTATCACCATGAGTTTCTGGGCTGTGTCACTGGTGAATGAGTGAAGATGGGGTGGCCCGTAGGGCTTGGCAGCAGGTGGCCATGCTATTCTAGGCCAGCCAAGAGCCACCAGGCTGCCCACCCGTCCAGCCCACACCCCAGTGAAGACATCAGTGGGACTAATGGGCTGCAGAAGCCACTCACTCTCCTGCCCCAGGCGTGTGGGGTGGTAACATTTAGGGCCTTGGAGGGGGACTTCTGAGGAGCAAGGCAGGTGCATTTGGGAAGAAACTCACAGAAAAGGGAGCTTCAAATCTTCTCTGAAGCTCAGCACTGAGACTTGTACGCACAGCTCATTTTTAATCTGTTTTGGTGACTTTGCTTTGATCCCAGGATGGAGACACCTGCTTTGTGTCTGGAGAGCACCATGGGTGGCTACAGGGCTCCCTGGCACATTGTGGCTGGGATGGGCAGTCCATCTGGAATCTCCAGCCAAGTGCCCACCACATCCGAGGTGCTCAATTAGTATGTCAAACAAGTAGATGGCCACAGACGCTGTATTTTCTGATACTTAACCATACCAAAAATGCTAGAAATTTCCATTTCCAGAATTCAGCAGTACAGGTCTTTAATTTTGTAAACTGCCTATTCCAATGACCTGCACCAAGATTATTTAGGGACTTGGGGTCATTATTTACTTCCTGGAAGAGACAGTTTCAGATTTATCAAAGATTGTCTCACAAATACTGCCTTCCTGTGTTTTGCCTATAGACAAAGACCACGCCAAAGAGAAAGAAAATAGTGAAACTTCTCTTTTGTTTAGAAATTGAACGTTAGTTGACTGGAATTCTTGCTCACATTCTATTTTCCCACCAAAATCCAAAGTAAATTTTGTTCTCAGCCTTCTGGGGTTAGGCTGTCTGGGCACCGCAGGTGAAGGCAGTGAGGAGTCAGTTCTCTCTACAGTGGGTCCTGTCCAGGGATCTGAGGGACGAGGGACCCAGACTGTGGGCAGCTTGTGACGCTGTCGGTGCCCAGTCAGGCTGCCTGTTTGTTCCAGTTAGTAAATTCCCCTCTCTGCTTTTGTACACAGTGACCTAAAAAGAAGTATTATTCCCCAGGGTGCCCTTGGGATTGTTTGTTTAAATTAAGTTTCATTTGGATTTAATCTTAACCAAACCTTTGGAGAGCAGGGGAGGCGGCCAAGATGAAGCACTGTGTGTGCCAATGAGCACGGCGGCCCCAGTGCAGGGCACGCACGGGGCCTGGTAATGTCACACTTGGGCGGCGCGGGCAGAGCTGGTGATCAGTTTATGGCCTAGATCATTGCATTTTTATTACACTCATAAAATCTGTGTTTTTCCTCATTTTCATAATGGCTTCAGTGAGCTTCTCCACCTTCTAAAGGCGCATTAAATCGTTATGTGGGGGGGAGCACCAACGTGGCAAGCAGGTTCGAAAGCCTGAAAAGCTTAAAGCAAGAAACACGTTTTGAATTCTCATCTTACTGCTGGAGTGGCACGAATGAAAAAAAGAACCGAGTTTGAGCATAATTCATATTTATTTGTGGGGTTTTTTGGCAAATACTTCAGCAGGTTCCATTAAATTCCAATATAAGTGATCTACCATGAGCTGCCTAAAGGATACTGATATTTCTACCACATGGGACCGTAAATCAGTGTTAAAAGAGGAAATACCGTGCTCGTGTTTGACTTTTAAAATGTAATCTAAAGAAGAATTTAATAACATGCACTGTGATAAAAAAGCATTTTATATTTGAGATATGTGTATTTTCTAAGTAACAAAATCTTAGATTTTTATATCTGTATTTAAAAGCAATAGAAGCCCTCTCAGATACCAAATTTACATCTAAATGCCATTTCTTATAAATATTTCTGTGACGTTAATGAACCCATAGCAGAAAGAGTAGACCCCTCTTCACTCTGTAATTTAATATGCTAATAAAAGGCTACAAATGCTACATCAGTGTGCCCGCAGAATTAATGGTTCTTAGCAATTACGCTGTAAGTATTAACATGCAGGTTTATTGCAGCGAAGTTGTAAGTTGTGTTTGCAAAGAAGTTCATCTGGAGGACGTCTGTGCTGTTGTCATTGCCCCGGGTGTGAGTGTGCACTTGAGTCCAGTGTGCCTGGCCGCTGCTTCCACGTAGCAGTTAGGAATTAGTCAGGGGGTTTGGGGTTTGCTTTAACTCAAATGGCACTGCGATATGTTGGTGTGAGTGAGTGGAATCCCAGCAGAGAATGTTGCTTTCTGTGATGTCCCTTGAAAGAAACCTTTAGAAGATATAGTTTTACGAAGCAAAGTGTCTCTCATCTGCCAAATATGCCAACTGCGGAAAGTGCAGGTGCCAGCCGCCCTCCCTCTGGGCCACATGGAAGGGGTTTCACCCAGCCTGTGCTGCTCGGTGTCACCTTAGGAAAGTCTCTTCAAGTCGGGAAGCCCGCTGAACAGAGAACGGAGGTGGTCGTGAACAGTGTGCAATGCACTCACAGGGCTTTTTAAACATTTCATGAAACGAGCAAACTCTGGGGCCAGTGTCTTCAGAGATGTGATAGTGGCTGCTGGAAACATGTCTAATGAAAATGAAATGAATTTCTGTGAAAGGAATAAATCTGACCGTGTCACACACAGTCTCTCTCTGTCCACAGATGGTGTGGGAAAGCGGCTGTGCGGTCATTGTCATGCTGGCCCCCCTCTCGGAGAACGGCGTCAGGCAGTGCCACCACTACTGGCCGGACGAAGGCTCCAACCTCTACCACGTCTACGAGGTACTTAGAGGATACCCCCGCCCAGCCCAGGCCGGCCTCCGAGCTGTCCCCATTTGCACAGAGCCCGCACAACCAGCAGCACATCCCTACGTAGGGGCAGCCTCCTGCTCTTAGCGGGAGCAAATCCCAGGAGACACAGGTGCTCAGACAGTCGTGTGGCTGTGAATTGTGTCCTGGGTAAATAGTGTGGTTTCCATTTTTTTAATTTTATAAATCCAGATGCTGACAGATTTAAAAAGCCCTACCTGCCAACATGGTCCTGGTCCAACATAACCTGAGTGGGCTAAGTGGGCCCACAGTTCCCAAGAGCCCTGCTACTCCTCAGACGAATATGATCCTGCTGCCCCTTCGAGCTCTGTGTCTGCTCCATCTGACCTTTCTCTCTGTGGGCAACCTGCTGACAAGTCTATCTCTCTTGCTAGATTTCCGCCCCTCATCAAGCAGGAACTAAATTCAGACATTTGCGGGAGTGCTTAGACACACCCTGGTGTTCCATTCTGCATTGCACTACTCAGACTGCCCAAGTTCCCAGGAGGAAATAAGTTAGAGGCTTAAATGTGAACTCTTCAGTCATGGATACAGCATCAAGGCCACTATAAGACAGGCTTGCGGGTGGCAGCGTCCAAGGCGGAGTCTCTGTGTGCGTGTCTACACAGTCCTCACTCCTCCACACCAGGTGCTATCAGCGCAGACCAGGTCTCTGTGAGAGCAGAGCCACTTGGCAGGACACAGTTGTGTTGATGGTTTTGCCCAGAAGTATTTTTCTCTGGTTACTTTTTTCGAAAGCTTTTATGACTTAGAAATACAAAAGACAAAAATACTTGGAGTAGTTTTGGGTTGTAACTTTTTTTTTTGAGGCAGAGTCTATCACCCTGGGCAGAATGCTACAGTATCAGCCTCACTCACAGAAACCTCAAACTCTGGGCTCAAATGATCCTCCTGCCTCAGCCTCCTGAGTAGCTGGGACTAAAGGCGCCCACCTAGTTTTTCTATTTTTAATAGAGATGGGGTCGCACTCTACCTTAGGCTGGTCTTGAATTCCTGAGCTCAAGGGATCCTCCTGCCTCAGCCTCCCAAGTAGCTGGGACAGGTGCCGACCACAACGCCCACCTAGTTTTTCTATTTTTAGTAGAGACAGGTCTCACTCTAGCTCAGGCTGGTCTTCAACTCCTGAGCTCAAGGGATCCACCTCTTTGGTCCTCCCAGAGTGCTAGGATTATAGGCATGAGCCACTGCACCTGGCTAGATTGTAATGTATTTTTTTAATTATTTGCCTGTCAAGGCCCTAAGTGACATTAAACACACATGATAAATACCAGCCTTCTCCACAGCTCTAGCCCTTCTCTCCTCCCACCTGGCTCCATGTCGGGCGGTGCTGGAAATGTGTGATGCCCACGCTTCCCTCCACTCCCTGCCTCTGGTCTTCCTGCAGGTGAATCTGGTCTCTGAGCACATTTGGTGTGAGGACTTCCTGGTGAGGAGCTTCTACCTAAAGAACCTGCAGACCAGCGAGACGCGCACGGTCACCCAGTTCCACTTCCTGAGCTGGTATGACCAGGGAGTCCCTACCTCTGCAAGGTCCCTTCTGGATTTCCGCAGGTATGGCTGAGAGCCCGTAGGCAGACAAGCACGAGCGTAGCCACCGGGGGGCAGGTGCATGTTGATTACAGGGGTCCTTGCCACCTTCTGTGTGATAATCAGAGGGAAGGAAGGAGGACTGTGTTGGCCATACATAGTAACTGTGAGATGTTTTCTAGTTTTAGAGGTGCTGAAATGTGAGGGGAAAGGTGTCTCAGAATTGTAGAAATACAGTCATTACTTTGATAAGATTCTTCAACCAAATGGCAGTCCTAAGTTCACATCTCCCAGGACCACAGTGACCGAGCTCAGATCTTCAGCTGGGACATGCACCTGCTGCCAGCAGGATGCGCTTCACAGATGCAGGCCCAGGCTCTGAAGTGGGTGATCTTGGGTGAGGGCCTGGACACTCTGAGCACGTGATTGTGTGTATTTTTAGTGCTATTTTGAAGTTAATAGTTTAAAAAAAATTCCAATTTTTTGTTCATTGCTCCAGTGAGCCAGTCACCCAGTGAGTTGTCTTCTCCTAAAGTGTGTTCATCGAACTCTAAATGAATGAAAGACTCTGTCTTACAGGAAGAAACTGTGGGAAAGAAAGTGTAATTTATGGCTGAGGCTTTGCCTGCACACCACATCTGGTGGTGAGCAGTTGGTTCATCCTGGCTAGTTACTGGCAGTGAATGAATAAATAACCACAACAAAAATGGAATTGCCCGGCAGCACCAATAACCAGTTCTAAATTTTACAGAACGTCTCTTACATGACGATAGGACATCTACCTACTAAGGAAAACAGATAAATACCAGGCAGGGCTCAGAGAGGGAGGCAAAACTGTGGCACGCACCAGCTCCACACAGCCTTTGTCTCTGGACAGCTGCTCCTCCCCTGCCCGTGGTCACCTAACCCTGAAAGGCCGGCATTGTCCCAGAGACTTGGACAGGTTTGGACTTGTCTCTGGGTTTCTTTAATTTGTACATTACAGACTTTGTTACTATTTCTTTTGCCTTATAGTCTACTTTGAAAAACAAAAGGTTTTTTTTTTATTTTAATTATTCTTTGGATCAAGTAGCACTTAGAGGTGCTTTGCGCAGGAGAGACAGGACTTGGTGCCATGTTGCCACCACTCTGTCACCTCCTGCAGGGACACAGAAGGCAGACCCAGAGTCCCTCACATGCCCCGGAGCAGCCACAACACACATCCTAATTTCCTGGCCCTTACACATATGTTCTCGATTCAGATTTATTCCTAAAGACATTCTATGTAGAAACTCCACTCCCTGAAACAGGGTCTTCAAGAAACAGTCACTACTGGCAAATGGATGTAGCCACAAAGACGGCGCCTGGACCTGCGGCCCATCCTTGCACCCACTTGGTGTATTAATGCACACGTGCATGTTCTGTGTCCATGTCCACACACGAGACTGGATGTGCACTGGGCCAACCCTCTGTGTGCACGATTTGTCATAAAGGAAAACCTGATTCCCCAAACTCCCTGGCTCCAGGGTCTAAGGCGATGTGGCCTGAGAAGGTTTTTGTTAAATGAACCCCAGACACAGTTTTGAGGATGGGGGCTTTGCTGCTGGCCTTACATGGCACTGCCCAGCCTCCTAGGCCACTTCTCAACCTGGGCAATTGGCTTGGACAGTCACATTCTCAGAAAGCCTCACGCTTAGACCATCTTTGGTAGGAAATTTTCTCTATAAAGTAGCCACCAAAATTTCAGCCCCAGGAAAGGTGAGAGGGCCTGTGGAGACATGGCCGTCAGGACACAGGGTTCCTTCTCTTTGAACAATAGGCAGCCAGTCCGGCTGGTGCGTCCCTCAGGCATGGGATGTGTAATTAAATATTTCTGGAGCCCAGAGGGAGCACATTTACACTTTAAAGAGAAGCTGCTAAGAGATAATTATCATCTCTTGTGAGGGCTCTGCTTTTAAAAACTTCACTCCCTCTCTCCCTCTCTCCACCACTCTCTCCCTCTCTCTCCCTCTCTCTGCCTCTCTCTCCCTCTCTCCATCTCTCCCCCCCCCCATTATTCTCACATGTCTTGCTGTGTGCAATGGCATTCACTAACCGCTCACTGTAAACATGGACAAACCCTTACTTTGCCAGCTAATTAGCGGTGGCCAGTGTCATTTTTGTGATGTTGCAGCTAGTAATATGAGCCCAGTTGCATAGTCACAAAAGTGATCATTGGAAACTGTGACTGTGCTGCAGGGACACTGGGGCGCCCCTTTTCTGAGCCTCTAACGACCTCTGACCCTGCGTGCTGTGGTTTGCGTGACGGCCGGTTCTCCCCCGGTGACCGAGGGTCGGTTTGTATACTAACCGTTCTTCCTCAGTGACGTCCTTCTGTCGGATACACACGGTGTCGATTTTCCTCAGTGGCGGAGACCTTTGCTGGCTGACGGTTTGTTCTAGCGGAGGGAGCGTGGCAGCCCCGTGTTAGCCCACTCAGGTCACCTGGGGGACTCGTGGGCTGTGTCAGGCTGGGCTTCTCTCTCTGTGACACTCCACACACAATGACATAGTGCGTGACTCTCTGTAATGAAGCCCTGAGACCTCTGCTTGTGCCCAGTTGAGGTGTCTGTAGACAGGTCTATGCTGGCACAAAAATTACACAACACCCTCCCCAGGCTGTCACGGCCAGCAGCCACAACACAGTGGAGAAAACAATATCTTAAATTTACCATAAAATAAAGGCAGGAGTTACAGATGTTGAGAAGCCAGTTGTAGCAAGAAAAGCCAGTATTGGCTTTTGAGCAACATGCCTTAGCCAGAGAGATTACTGTTGCATTTTGCCAAAGCGAGAGCTGACCACTGCAAGTGACACACCACGGCGTCTTCCAATTATTAGACCAGTGCAGTTTTCAGAAAGGTACCTGTGGGTTTTCTTTTTCTTCCATGTACCTTTTTTTGGTGCTTGGTCTCATTGTGCAAATATGAGCAAACCAGCATGTGGACATGCATACGTGGAGGTGAGCGTTGACGGAGCCACCCCAGCACGAGGCGGGCGCCTGGAAGTCGGGTGCAGACTCAGACCAGCAGGCCCTAGACAGCAGAGCCCTCAGGGTTCCCCTGCCAGTGGGTGGCTTGCTGACACTACACACACACACACGTGTGTGCACATGCACACACACTCAGTCTTTACTGAGAGAGAGGCCCCCACACCCTGAGGTATGTCCCTTAGATCCAGCATGTTTTTATGAAAAGCTGGAGCTAAGGCTCAGCCCCCATGCACAGTGGTTAAGGCACTGGCCACATACACTGGGGCTAGTGGACTTGAACCCAGCCTGGACCTGCCAATCAACAATGACAACTTACAACAACAACAACAACAACAATAAAAATAGCTGGGTGTTGTGGCAGATACCTGCAGTCCCAGCTACTTGGGAGACTGAGGCAAGAGAATCACTTAAGCCCAAGAGTTTGAGGTTGCTGTGAGCTGTGACACCACAGCACCTTACCGAAGGTGACAAAATGATACTCTGTCTCAAAAAGAAAGAAAAAAAGCTGGAGCTGAGATGATATCATAGCCGGAGTCAGGATCGGGAAATTTTGAAGCAAAAGTGGGGGCTCTGTTTCCATTCTTTGTTCTCCAGAGATCAGGAACTTTGCCGTGTCCTGGCCCACAAGTACAGAGGGTTTTACATTTTTCCCCTCCCCCAAAGCCTTAGAGCTGCAGCACCCAACAGCCTATAAGGCCGTCTCTGGGTGGCCCGCAGGCTCTTGGGAGTGGCCACGCCTTACCAGGCCCTGCAGCTGGTACCCTCCAGCTCCCACTCTGCTGTCCACCGTGGGGCCTTGGGATCCCCATGAGAAGGCCTCCTTCTGCTCACTCCAGAGAGGAAGTTGGAAACAAGGAGAGAGCTCTGACACTCGGGCCCTGTGACGTCAAAGCCTCTCCCAGCTCATCAGTCACAGGAACACTCACTGCCCCCTCCGCAGCCACCCCACTTCTGTCCTGACGGTTCACAGCAAAGCCACCAGCTGGGTGAACTTCCTCTCCAGCTCACGACTTGGGTGCTGAGGAGACTTGTCTTTCAAAGCCACACGACGGCCTCTGTCCCTGCTCCACTGTCTTGGAGAAGCTGGTAGCTCACGTCTCACATTACAGGACACCAGGCTGCATGCTTCAGGGCACTGCACGGCACATTTTTCCTTCCAATAAGCTGAGCTCCTGTCTTTAGTTTATTAAGAAATATTTTACTGAGAACTTTGATGTACTTTGTAAACATGTCTAGTTGTTTCACTGAATTTTTAAAAAGAAAAAAACTTGAAGCTTACATGGGGAATTTTAAATCAGTCCTCAGTTTTGATTTAGAGGTTGGTTGTGAAATCTTAGATATGTTCTCATTGTTAAATTTCATAACTTCTGACCTAAAATCTGCACAGTGTGGAGTTTGCTTTTAAACAGACTCAAATTCATAAAAATAGAAAAGATTTATCTTGGACTTAATTGAGGTTTCTCTGTAATTTAGATATCCTTACCAAAAGCTGAGAGATAAGAAAGGCCATTAAGGCTGCTGCTTCTAGATAGTACGGTAATATCGTAGTATATTCCAATATGATATGTACACTGTAAGAAATTTTGAGCATAAGTCGCCTAGCTCAAAAATTTTAGTAAAGAATCAAGATATTCATATCACAACAAAAGGTCAGATGAACTGCAGCAAAAAAAAGGAGAGGTGGGGGAAAGGGCTGGGAGGAGAGGGTGGGGAAGGAGGAGAGGGTGGTGGAGAGGGGAGGGTGGGAGAGAGGGCCGGGTGGGGGCACTGCGGCCGATTGCCTGGAGTTCTTGCTTATAAAGTAAAACAACGTCATGAAGGTATAAAAATTGTTTTAAAAGCTCTGTCCATAACTTAATATTGAAAAGGAAAATCTTTGACATTGTGTATATAATTTTGATTTTCTTGGTCAAAACAGGCTTTTGCAAAATAATTTCAAAAATACGGACAAAAATTGCTTTGGCTTATTAATTATTTTGAATAACATAAAGTCTTGGTATGTAACCATAATTTTTATATCTCTTTTTATTTCAGAAAAGTAAACAAGTGCTACAGGGGCCGTTCTTGTCCAATAATTGTTCATTGCAGGCAAGTAAAACTTTTAACATGGATTAAGAAATATTCTTGCTACCTCAAAAAATAATCTATGTGATTAAATGCAGAAGCTGAACTTTCTAGTTGCTTAATAAATAAAGGTAGCTAACTGATATTTCTAAAGGAAACCAAAGGTGCAGACTTAATTCTCTCAGCCACTTAGCTAGATAAGACACTGACTGTGATTATTTTTTTGTGTCTGCGCGGATGCACCATTTCCTCTGCGGCCCCATGCTATCCCTGCCTCCTGTCCCCCACGATGCCATCCAGCCACCCCATTTTCTTCACACTCTTAATGCTGCCAGCACACAAAAGCCTTGAGATAGTACTTTTGATCTCCTGCATTGCCTTGGCCACCCATACAGGAGCTGAGGTCTGGACCCCTGTACAGATGGGCCACTTAGAGCCACGAGCAGACGAGGACAGCCTCTGTCATGACAAGGGGCGTGGCAGTTTCCAGCTCATTACCTGAGTCTGGGCTCTTGGGTGAAAACTCAGTGACTCAGATCCTTCATTATATAAAACCACACCAGTGAGACTTGATCCATGCAGAGAAAACTCAGTCTCACGGCACCATTTCCACCTGCCCTGGTCCTCGGCTATTCTGGGTAAAGAAGCCATACTTCACTTTTCTAGAACTATCTTATAGAAGGCTCTTTTCTGCCTGGGATAAAAAGGAAGTCTGTCTCCAAAGGTCAAATCTCAAATCTGTGGGTTCAGTCAAGAAGCAAGCGTGTTCGTGCCCATGTGTGCTCTGTCCATGACAGAGGAAGAAGTCGAGGGGGCCTCAGTGTCCCCAAAGAGTGGGACAGAGCACCTTCAGCCATCAGCGTGTCGAGACAGCCGGCTAGTTAGGAGGTTTTTGTAGCATTTCTTAAAATATGCACATGAGTATGGGCTGTGCCAAGAAGACAAGTGGGAGGTGCACCCCAAGAGCGTGGCCTGTGGTCACTCGGGGTGGGCGAGGAGGGTGGACGGCGGCTGCTGCCTTCCCAGGACGCAAAGCAGGCCCCACTCTCGGCTTTCCAGACACAGCTTTCCTCAACCATTTCTTCAAGAAAATGTGTTAAAGCCAAACACAATGATCTTTTTTCCATCTGAGATCAAGCTGTGGGCTTACGGGTGATTTTGAGGGTCACAGGCCAGATCAGGAACGTGAGGCTCAGCAGCGTGTTGGGCAGTCAGTCACACGATTACTGAAGCCTCAAATGGAAACTCTCCTTTTAATTTTTTTCTTAAAGTCACAATTGATGTGGCTAGGAGTATACTTGTGAAAAGCCTTCCATTTAAAAGCCACAGATATAGAGATAAGCGAATGTGCTTTAGAGGGGGTCCCTGGAACACAGGTAGCTCTGCCCGGGGAGACACAACCTCACACGTTTCTTCCAAGCAGCAGACCGTGCTGAGGCTGCCCCTTCTCCTGGAAAAGGAATTTTCATTTTTTTCCATTTGCTGTTGTTAAGGTATAATTCAAAACATTTTTACAACTCCAGCCCAGATGGTAAATATTCCAGTTATAGCTGGTAGGATGAGAAAGACATGAAATGACAGTGCTTTTTAAAGAATATGATTAAGCAACAGATGAGACGTGCATTTCTACCTCTGAGAGGGAGGACATTCACTTAACAAGGGCACGACGGCCAGGCATGGTGGCTGATGCCTACAACCCTAGTGCTTTGGGAGGCTATGATGGGAGGATCAATTAAGGCCAGGAGTTTGAGGCCAACCTAGGCAGCATAGCGAGACCTCTACAAAAAAATAGGAAAAATGCCGTGAAGGCTATGATAACCAGTTTGATGAAAATATTTCAAATTGTAAATAAAACCAGCACATTGTAGCCCCCCCCCCAAAAAATAGAAAATAGCCAGGTGTGTTGGTGAACCCTAATAGTCCCAGCAACTTGGGAGGCTGAGGTGAGAGAATCGCTTGGGCCCAGGAATTCAAGGTTATAGTGAGCTGTGATCGCACCACTGTACCCCAGCCTGAGTGACAGAGTGAGACCCTGACTCAAATAAAAAAAAAAAAAAGAGGTGGCCCTCAGGCCCTGATGAACTGGCAGCTGTGGTTCCAGTGTGACCCAGCGGGGCCCACCCCTGGGTCCTCCCCACTGCCCGAGGGGGGTGTCCAGTGATCACAAAGAATTGAGCAGTGTTTTTAATACCAATGCTGTCAACTCTGACACAGTCAAGCATTTCTTTTTCTCACCTTTTCCTGAAAAAATTTACCACATCTTTGGCCAAAGAAGGAGAAAGGAGGAAAGAAATAGGTTCCTCGAAGCAGGATGGCTCAAAGGCGCACGCACCCCAGCCTTGGCCCTGCCCCCCATGCCCACGTACACGGGAGGGAACCGGCTGTCGCGGGCTTTGTGGGCTTCCCACGGCAGCCCCTCTCATGTCTCTCCTTCTGTTGGCAGTGACGGCGCGGGCCGGAGCGGCACCTACGTCCTGATCGACATGGTTCTCAACAAGATGGCCAAAGGTGAGCACGGCGCCTCCGGGCTCAGAGCTGGCCCGTCACTGGCAGCGTAGGGCCATGGTGTTCACAGAAGGTCCCGGAAGACATTAGCTGGTGGCTGTCCTCTCCCCGCAGCACGACGGGGGCTGATGGGCACACTGACTCTGGTCCCTTCTTGCTCACCCGCTGAACGCATAGTAGGCCCTCGATGGCATTGGAACAAGGGTGCAGTCCAGGGTCTTCAGACAGTAGCAGTCAGTGTACCTCAAGGCAGTTTCTAGGACACTCCGCCATTACTAAAACTGTATTTGCAGGATATAATTTAGGTTTTGTGCAGGAGCCACGCTAGAAACCTCTGGGAGTGATTGCCGTCAAATATAAACCATCTTATCTCCACAGACCCTCCAGCGGTCCTTTCAACAATGTCTCCATCTCAGGGAGTCTCTCTGCATTCCAGGGCGTTTCTTCTCTGGGGCCCTGTGGGGTGGCTGGACCTGACCTTACCAGATGAGGGAGGGGCTCACAGCCAGCAGCAGGTGGACAAACCTGGGGGACCCGGCTCTGCTAGAGATGAGTTTTACCCCTTTGGACAGAGCCTGGGACCCAATTTCTTCTACAGAAATGTGGGCCTGGGATTGGCCTGCTACTTCTCCAGGTGCCGAGCTAAACTCCATACCTGTGAGGCCAGAGCCAGGGCCCACTTCTTCCTTCTCCATTAATGCCACTGTGTCTTACCAAATATACAGAGAGTGCCCCAAAATGCATGCACATTTTAAGAAATGTTACCTATGGATTACTTTTGGAAGTTGAATTGAAGGTACCTTACTGGTCAGGTAAGATCCATTTTACCTGCAATTTGCACACTTTGGGAAATGATCAATTTTACTTCCAACAAAACCATTTTTTTTGAGACAAAGTCTCACTTTATCACCCTGGGGTAGAGTGCTATGGTGTCATAGCTCACAGCAACCTCAAACTCTTGAGCTCAAGCAATTCTCTTGCCTCAGCCTCCCAAGTAGCTGGGCTTACAGGCGGAAGCCACTGCACCCAGCCCCAACAAAACCTTTTTAAATGTGCATATGTTTTTGGCATCCTAGTATAAATTTATAGTTATTGAAGCTCAGAGCTACCAGTAGGTTTATATTTCTTCCCTATCCCTTCTTTCTCTCTCTCCCACGTAAATAATTTCCCTTCTAGTAAAACCAAAATACCTTCTGAACAGTGCTAGGGATTTTACTGCAGTGCTTCTGTCCAGGCCTACAGTTTTGACCAACACGCTGCCATCAACTTACCTGGTGCATATTTGTTTTAAGTGGAAACTTGCTGTTAGCAGGTGGCAAGAGACTCTCAATTTTCACATCTGCTAGGACTGCTCTGGTGCCACCACATCATGTAATAGAGCCCAGGTTCCCTCCACAGTGGAGAAACACAAAGTGTCCAGCCTTGGGATCATAGCCAGGGGCTGGGTGGACATTATGTCCAAGGCCACAGTGCACTATTTACTGGCGCCATCGTACCGTGTAATATCAAATGCCACTCCAAGTGCAAGATAGGCACTCAACAATACGTGTCCAGCCATGTGGAACGGGCCAGTGTGGGCAGGCTGGGCCTTTTCTGAGATTGGTCAACCCTTTCTGCTCCTGACCTGCTGGCCGTGAGCTCAGGAGAGATCAAAGGGCAGGGTGTCGGCGCTGGGAGGTGGGCCTTTCCCAGGCCACCACACGGAGAGGCGCCGGGCTTTGTTCAGGGCCGGGCTGGGCCTGCCTGTGCACCGGGCGGGCGTCTTTGTGCAGCCTGAGAAGCTGGAGGCCCCATTGCAGACCCTCGTTCATCAAATGATCAAAGGCCCAGAGCCCTGGACGTGAAACCTTTCTTCCCAATTCCCTTTCTTAAAAGGAATGAATTGCAGAGGACCAAAGAATGCCTCGCAAAGCGTCCTGGTGCCACAGCCTGACGCTGGAGTCCCCGGTTCTGAGTGCGCCAACCTCAGCTTGCTTTCAGCCGTGCCCTTGTCCAGAAGGCCTTTCAGGGATTAGGGCCTTCGGGCCTTGTTTAAGGGCCTTTAAGAATGAACTTGGAATAATTTAAGTTCTTTCTCCACTGTCTAGTTTAGCAGCCGGCAGACAATAATGCAGTTTGAAATCAGAGTAAATAGGCTCTCAGTCCGCAAAGGATTTTGTGGCGGGAAAGTAGACAGCAATCTGTAAAGCGTTTCTATGAGTTATTTCTGTGGCAGCAAAAGCGTTTCTAAGTAATATAAAGCATCAGAACCAGCTTTTAGGAAGGGCTTAGCTCACATGAAGCAAAAACTTTTGTTTTCAGCCAAAACATTTTCTGAGGTGTGCTTTTTAGGTCTTTGTCAGTGACATCTCTCTAATCAGAGTTTTTTCTTTATCACCATTTTTTAAAGGAATGGAGAGCACCAGACAAGTAGCATGGCTTCCCAAGACCGTGTTTGCTGGGTCGCCCTGAGGGGCTGGGGCAGGGCCTCAACTGCACGCAGGCAGGGCCAGCACAGAACCCGTGGTTGGAACGCAGGCCCAGGTGCCATGTGGCCTGTGCTGAGGAAGAACAGCCCCCTCACCCCGCCACAGCGAGGCTGTTCAGATGGCCCTAGAATGGGGAGACTGGCTGCTGCTGTTGGCAGGGTCCAGGCCCAGGGCTAGGGTCTCGCTTCCCAGCATGAATCGCTGAGCTGGCTGTACAGTGTGCTGGGGTTGCCTGGCGGACGCGCGTTAGCTGAGTGCTGTCAGGTAGGGTCCACCGTGAGCGTGTGATGAGGGTTGGGCATTGCAGCCTCATACCCACTGCTGGTTTGCACCCTCAGTGAACTGTGCATGGACAAGCTCGTTCGGTTAACATAAGCAATTACACGACCTCTGCTCCACTTGGCTCTGGTTTGGCTACTGTGGGGACCTCATGCAAGTGGGGTCATGCACATTTGTCCTCCTGCAACTGGCTATCACTGACCACGTGTTGCCAGACATGTCAGTGTCCTTGTTTGCACAACTGAGTGGTGTCCCATCGCATGGGCAGACCACACTTTGTTTATCCACCGTTCACTTATAGACCATGGGCTGTTTGCCCCTCCGGCTACTGTGAATGACGTTGCTGTGGGCATGGGCAAGCATCTTGAATCCTTGCTTTTAGTGAGTTTGGAGATAAACCCAGGAGCAGAACTGCTGGTCTGAGACAGTTCTGTGCACCTGTGTGGGGAGCCCCCAGGGGTCCCCAAAAGCAGCGCTCGGGGCACCACCTGTGAGTCCGTGCCAGCATGTGGGATTCTCCGTTGCTTGAGTTGTTGCCATGACTCTCTGTGGTCTGGGTTTTCACTTCCCTGCAATGGGCCATGTTGAGCATCTTTTCGTGTGCTCCGTGGACGTTTCTGTCATCACTGGAGAAATGTCTCTTCCAATCCTTTGTTGTTGGATTATAAGGATGTTTATGTTTTCTGGATGTTAATCCCTTATAAAATGTGTCTTTTACAGTTTTTTTCCCCATCATATAGGCTGTTCTTTTACTCTCTTGGTCATGTTCTTTCTTGCAAAAAAGTGTTTAATTTTTACGAAATCCAGTTTACGTTTTTAAAAATTTTTTGAAACATTTTTCTCTGTAGCTCATTGCACATCAGTGTCATTGAGGGTGGCCCCAGCCTCCCTGCTCTGTCACCCCCAGTCCTGCTGAATCCTATTATCACAACGTCATTCGCCCTTTTGGCAAACACCAGGCTGATCCACAAATGTGCCTGTCTAGCGGGTCACTAGGGAACACGCCCAGTTTGACACAGGTCAGCTGGTGGTGACTGAGGACCTGCAGCTCCCCAGCAGAGCAGCTGGACGCCGCAGACAGGACAGAAAAGTCCCGTCCTCCCCTGAGAGAAGCAGCCATGGCTGCCCAGTTGTGAGGTGGAGAGCACAGACATGGCTGCTTGGGGCCATGGTGCCAGGGCACATTTCCCCAGCTAGCAGGCCAGGCTATGGTGGGAGCTGTTTTCATAGAACTGAAGGGACTTGGGGGGACATTTGCTCCAACCACTTTGCTGTGAGCCAAGGAAGCAGATCCCTGAGGTTTGAGGCCCTGGCCAGGGTCAGACGTGTCACCCTGGCTTGTTCCGGGACCCCAAGAAACAGCTCGGAAGGGTGGCCAGTGGTGCAGCCAGGGACAGTGGGGTCAATGAGTTGGGGAGTTTATTGTGGGCTGTCGGGAAAACTGCAAGAGGAAGAGGGGAGGGCGGACCGCGGGAGCAGGATGGCAGGAGGCCACCCCCTCTCGTCAGAGTTGGGAGTGAGGGGGGCCAGGCTGGCCATGCAGGGCACAGGCCTCAGCCATGGCATCAGAGCCTTAGCATGGCTGTACATGTGGCTCCCTCCTCCACAGACAAGGCCAACCTGGATGGGCAGGCTGGGGAGAGCAAGACACTGGTGCTTATGTGACTCAAACAAGGGAACAAGCAGGAAACAGACTTCACAGACCCGCCTCCTCCCATGTGTCCCCAAGTGACAGTGTCTCAGCTGCAGAGAGTGGCAGGCTGGGAACAGCGTCCGGACGAGGCGAGTCCCCTCTACTCAGAGGAGCAGTTGTCCTCTTCAGGCCACAGCCTGGGTCTTCTCCCCTCAATTTATTTCTAATGTTTCTCCCACCACCAACATCCCCAACCCCTTCCCTAAGCTATTCTGGTGCATTGGAATAGTGACAGCTGGGGGCCCTTGGAGCGTGAAGTGTCCCATCTGAGGCAGGAAGACAGTGGCCCTTGGGCGCAGCAGTGTCCTGGTGTGTGGCCATCCCCATGGGGTGGGCACAGGGTGGGCTCTGGAGCTGACCTTCTCACTGGAGGGACCCCGAGCTTGGGAAATTCCCAGCACAGCTCCCTTGGGTGTGTTTATGAGCTAGTGCGGCCCTCACCCACCAGGTGCCCTGAGGGGCTTCCTGTTCATCCTGCGAGGGGCATCAACTTGGCCTCCCTCGGTTTCCTACTGCAGCAGAAGGTGGCCCTGGCAAGCTGGGGCCTTATGGCCTGACTGTGA